TAGACAAAAATCACCACTTTGGAGCAGAGATTTGGCTGTGGTCAACTGTCCTGTGCTACACCATCAATGTGTGTGCAAATAGAAGCCTCCCGCAGGGGATGGAGGTAACCCCTCTCTCAGGCCCCTCCTCTAGCCACTACCATATAGGTGGGCAGATATATATTGGGAAGTTAATGGGAGAAAGACGACCAATATTTTTGTCTCTGAAGGTCAGTAAGTTATCTGTGTGTGCTCGGCACCAATCTCGGGATGGTTGAGTCCTGTTCTGTTGGGGTTTTATAGATCGCTTTGAGTTTGTCCTGCACAGCGAACTCTGGCAGCACAGTGGCCGTGGGTTGCAAGGTCAATAGCTGGAGATTCCAAGCTGCTCCCTGGGAGAAATGCAAGGTGCCCCATCCCAGCTCAGACGCTTCACCTCAGAACCCTGGTCAGGTTGATTGAGGTAGGAACCTATTCTGTGCTGCACTAGTGCTGGAAGTTCTAGTGTGCAGGTAGATATTGGTGAGTTAATGGGAGAAAGATCATCCACTATTTTTGTCTCTGAAGGTTAGTTAGTTATCTGGGTGTGCACAGCACAAATCTCAGGGTGGTTGAGCCCTATTATGCTGTAGTTTTAAAGATTGCTTTGTGTTGATCCTACACAGGCAGGTCAGGCAGCACAGCAGCCACGGATTGCTAGAACAATAGCTGGAAATTCCAAGCTGCTACCTGGGAGAAAGGCGAGGTGCCCCACCCTGGCTCAGATACACAGCCTCAGATTTGGGCCCTCAGGGACACCGCCCAGCTCCCTCTCTCACTCAGTACCATGGGAAAACTGTCCTGCCTGATGCCGGGGCTGAGAAATGAACTTGGGACAGAGAGAGAGGGATAAATGTGTAGTTTCCTGCGGGTCTCTCTCTCTTCTTCTTCTTCTTTTTTTTTTTTTTTTAGCTTTTGCTGAAAACGCTGCTTTCTAAACCGGGCTGGCTTTAGCCACGCCCTCTAGACTCTGCCAGGGCGGGGTAGTCGCCTAGGCGGTCCAGCCTCCAGATTCCTAAGATGCCCTTATTTTCCTTAATAGTATGATGTTTTCACATGCGAGTTTAGGAGACTGAGGTCCTGGATCTTATGGTAGATCCAGAGCTCTGGAGTTGTTCTTTGAGCACTTCCTTTGTGGGATCCCCCTCCCTTCTCACTGGAGGGTACCCTACCTGGTTTCCGCGGCTGCAGCCCCCAACTAAAAGTTGTATTGAATCTTTCTTGAGTTTTCTACCTTCTGATTCAGGCTTAAAAACACCCATCCAAAAAAAGGAGTTGCAAAGTAACCAAGTAATTCAGAAAGCAAATAAACATTTATTTTTTAACATTAAACATTACTAGTAATTGAAGAAATATAAATTAAAGTAATAAGTTGTTATTTTCTCCTATTTAAAGTTTTTTTTTGTTTTCCTCTGACTAAAGTAAAATACATCTTTTGTAGAAAATAAGAAAATGAAAATAAGTAAAAAGCAATCTCTTTATTTAATTTTATTTTAATGTTGAGCATTTGCACAACAAAACATACGCCAACTCGTGTCTTCATGTACCATATAGTGACACTGATTGCATTCTTTGAGTTGTGTAACCATCTCACCCTCAATTTCTGAGTTGCTCCTCTCTCAGTAACATAAACTCACTGCCCCCTAAGTTTCGTATCTAATCAAGAAACAGTTTTTAAAAAAATCATAATCCCATCATCGGAGCAATACTATTGTTTTCATTTCATTAGATTAGATTAGATAGGTCATATTATAAACTCTTGTCTTAACCTTTTATTTCACTTTACTACCCAGTTTTGATTTCATAACCTATTAAGATATGATTTACAAATAATTGTGACTAATAAAGAAGATAATATAGCTCATGTGTACATCAGTCTTTTTTCTGTCAAGGTCTAAAATTAATCCAGCAGTCTCCGGTTGCTGTACTCTTCCTTTTTTTTTTTTTTTTTTTTAAATTATAAGTTATGTGTCACTGTAGGATAAACCCTGGACTTCTGACCATAAGGTTGACAGTTCAAACCCACCAACCGTTCCTCAAAAACCTTATGCAGGGTCGATATGAATTGGAAGCGACTTTATGGTGCTTTAAAACAATACCACGCCATAATAAATGTATTGTGTGCTAATCTTTTTTCACATCTCTAATGATTTTGTTAGGACTAGTTCCTAGTATTGCTATTGCCGAGTCAAAGCATATTGCAATTTTAAGCCTTTCAATAATGTTGCCAAATTGCTGAACAGTATTGACAATATTGGTTTTGTATTCTTTTATCTACAATTGTTCTTGTTTTCATTTTTTAAGCTTTTCCAAAAGGGCATCTTATTTTAATTTGTACCTCTTTGCTTAAGAATCAGCATATTTTTCGTATCCTAACAAAATACTACAAATCAAAGAAAAATCTATATCTGAATATCTTCATTGCCACACTGTTTAATGTTAAATGTTCAACAAAGGGAGAGCCCCGAAAATGAATGATGAGATGTCTACTTAGTTAACTATGTAAGCATCAAACATTAAGTGTGTGAAATTATTTTACTGACATAGGAAAAGTATTTATTGGATAATTCTAGGTAAGACCATTTAGAGTGGTAAATTTTATATGTCTTTTCATGTCTACTATAGTTCTTTGAAGAATGGGCATTCTAGAACACTTAATAGAGAACCTGTCCATAGGTCTAGTTCATGCAGAAACTGTACCTAGACCAAGAGGCAGACATTCACACACAACAAGGGGATACTATGTGTGTGGATTAAAATCAGAGAGGGTATGTGTAAATCTATATTATAAGCAAATAATCCAAGAAGCTGGACTATATGAAGTAGAACAAAGCATCAAGATTGGAGGATGTGGTAAGTTAGTTTTCGGACTAAGGTGTGCCTGAATCAAGCCATGGTATTTTCAATAACTACAATATGCATGTAAAAGCTGGACAGTGAATAAGGAAGACTATAGAAGAATTGATGCATTTGCGTTATGGTGTTGGAGGAGAATATTGAAAGTACTGTGGACTGCCAAAAGAATAAATAGATCCGTGTTGGATGAAGTACAGCCAGAGTGCTCCTTGGAGGCCAGGGTGGCCAAACTTCGTCTCTCATACTTCAGATATATTTTCAGAAGGGACCAGTCACTGGAGAAGGATATCATGTTTGGTAAGTTGGAGGGTCAGAAAAAAAAAGGAGGATCCCAGCGAGATGGATTGGCAAAGTGACAGCATCAGTGGCCTTATTAAGTGTAGCAACGATTATGAGGTTGGCCCAGGACCTGTCCAGTGTTTTGTTCTGTTGTGCATAGGGTCTCTATGAGTAGGTACCAACTTGATGGCACCTAACAACAACAACAAGCCATAGCCTTTATGATGGTGGTGTTATTAAGTGCCATAGAATCTGTTTCAACTCATAGCAACCCTGTCTAGGAGTATCAAGGAAAGACTGGTAAGTTCAAACTGACCTTTTAGTCCAGTGCATTTTCCTGCAGCTCCACACCACTCCTATCAAATGAGAGGGTGGGGCCATATAAATAGGGTGTTTGGGACTCTAACATGGGCATTGGTCAGTTTTGCCATCCCACTGGGTATAATGTGAGCCATCTCAATGGCAGGAACTGGGAATCTCACAACTATCCAGAAAGAAGAGCCACAGCAGGGAACAAACATCCTTTGGGTTCTGAGATCCCTGTTCAGGGTAGTGGCAGCAGCACTAACAGTAGAGATAGTGGTGGGCTTCCTGACCCACTGAACCGGTAAAGCTGAGTATTTTAAGACAGGAGGCTGGCTTGCAGAACGGGCTGTCACTTGAGCATTTATCGGCAACACTAAAGGAGCTTTGCAACTTAACCTGAGCAGAGCAGAATCCAAACAGCCATATAGCTAAGAAGCCAAGGATGAAAGAGATACGCCTGTGAATATGGCTGAGAAGAGGCACTCCTTAACCAGAGAACTGCTGTCTCCTGGGCTATTTCTGATCCTGAATTGTAGTATCTATTAACTTCTCTAATATGTGCCAAAACCATGGCTATTATCTTTGACTTCTGTGTGCCTATTACAATGAATTATTTAACTCAACATAGAAACAAAGAGTACTGTGGGAGAAATTGTTGATGTCAGAATTGGTAAAGAATATTGGACAGTGAAAGCATGTCTGACCTCCACCTCACAGAAGTCAAGCTTGGGCCAATGGTGATTTTGATTCTCCTACCTCCTTATGAAGTCAGAACGAGGGGATGCTGTGCCATTTTTACAGAGGAAGATTCACTAACAATTTGTCATATGCAGATGACACACTCTTGCCTGCTGAAAGCAAAGATAAGTTGAAGCACTTATTGATGAAATACATCTTGTGTACTTTGGATATGTTATCAGGAGGGACCAGTCCTTAGAGAAAGACATTATGCTTGGTACAGTAGAGAGCAAAAAAAGAGGAAGAACTTCAACAAGATGGACTGACATAGTGGCTGCAGCAGTGACCTCAAACTTAGTAATGAGTGTGAGGATGGTGCGAGAGTTTTTACTCTGTTGTCCATAGGGTTGCTAAGAATTAGAACCAACTGGATGAAACCTAACACACACACAGTCTTTTTAAACATACTAGGAAGAAACCTGAAAAAAAATTTCTCAGAATGCAATTCTGCATGGTGATGGGTGATTTTTTTTAATATTTCATAGTTTGTAATACTTTCTATATTTTTGTACTTAGCATTTATTTCACTGTTTTTAAGAAAGCACATCTTTGTTATGTAGTCCACATAAATGGTGCAAGAGGGGAGAGAAAATTGCCCACCTTCAGTCATCTATAACATGCATTCGAAAACTAATAGTAAACATTTGATAGTGAAACAAAGACCTTGGCTAGGTTAAGTAAACTAGATTCTGGTAAACATTTAAATAGACAATTCTCAAAATGAAAGTTCCACTTGCTTGAGAAGCTGTTGTTGGAATCACACTGGAAATGTAACAGTGCTATGATTTTCGTTTTCTTTTTAGGTTGCTGCTGTGGATCTTCTGGTTCCAGGAGTTGGGGAGCTCTTTGGAGGAAGCCTCAGAGAGGAACGGTATCATTTCTTGGAGCAGCAGTTGGCCAGGTATTGGTCAGACCTAGAAGAAACACTGTTCAGAAATTACGGATGAGATACTCAAAGGGAGTCGTGGCAAAGAAAAGTTTCATGGGCTTTGGACTTCGGCATCTGACCCATCTGAATCTTAGATTCTGTGTGACCTTGAGCAAGTGATTACTTACCCTCTCTGAGCTTCCCTTTCTCAAATGCTAGAGGGAGTCCTGGCAAAGAAAAACCCATGGACTTTGGACTTTGGCACCTGATAGACCTAAATCTTAGACTGTGTGTGACCTTGAGCAAGTGACTACTTAACCCCTCACAGCTTCCGTTTCTCAGAGGCCAGAACAAGTTACAGGAGTCCAAGCTATAATAGTATTTGCCACTGTTTGCAAAGTTACTATGGGGAAGTTGCTTTATTAAAAAATGAAGGATGAAAAGTGATTCCTTATATTTCTCTTTCCTGTGCTTTTAAAAAATTTACTCTGAGTTATGATTGGAATATTCATATAGGGACAAAAATAAAGGCTGATTTTGAACCAGTAAGAAGGTAAAGATGGGAAAGAAAACTAGTAAAAATTGCTACAGTACAATTAAAATAAGTGGACTTCTCTTCTTCAGGTTCTCTACTATGGGTTTCTTAGGATTTTTTTTTTTTTTACAATAACTTTTTATTGTGAATTGAATGAAGGTTTACAGAGCAGACGATCAGTTTTACATTCAATAAATCATATACTGTGCTTCGTTGTTGTTGTTGTTATGTGCTATGGAGTTGGTTCCAACTCATAGCGACCCTATACACGGTTTCCAAGGCTCTATGGGAGCAGAAAGCCTCATCTTTCTCCTGCAGCACAGCTGGTAGTTTTAAACTGCAGACCCTGAGGTCAGCAGCCCAATTTGTAACCACTGCACTACCAGAGCTCCTTCATTATATGGTTGCAATTCCTCCATGGACTAAAAGTTAAAGGAATTTACCTCTTCACTTTAACACATTCTCCCTGTGTCTCCCACTACCTTCATCTTTCGTCTGCTAACCTTCCTCTTGTTGTGTATTGCATGCCCCTGTCACCCATGGTAACGTGTCTACCCTCTAGTCTGTGAATAACTCCCCCCACCATATAGCCAACATAGAATGTTTCTTTTATCAAGAAAACATTTTCTTAATTTTTTACAAAATTGGTCTCATACAATATTTGTCCTTTTGTGATTGACTAAGTTCACTGAACAGAGTGTCCTCCATGTTCAGCCATGTTGTGAGGTGTTTCACAGATTTATCATTATTCTTCAGTATTTTTTAGTATTCCATTGTGTGTATGTACCAAAGTTTGTTTAACCATTCTTCTGTTGAAAGGCATTGAGACTGTCTCCATCTTTTTTATATGTCTCTTATAGACAGCATATGGTAGGATCCTTTTTTCTTATCCATTCTTCTATCTAGGTCTTTTCACATGCATTTAATCCATTTACATTAAGTGTAATTATTAATAGGTATAAATTGACTGCTGTCATTTTTCTGTGTGTTTTTTTGTGGTGCTGATGGGTTCTTTGTTCCACATAATTTTCTATGCTGAGTTCATTTTCTTTATGGGTTTTCTTTTCATTTTCATTTCTGTTAATGTTTACTAAGTCTTTCTGATTTTCCTTTTTTATTTTGATGTGCAGGTTGATTCTTTTTCTTTGAGGTTGCCCTGTAATTTATTAATTTTATCTCTGCTTAAAACGCTTTGTTTTATCTTGAAACTACGTGACTTCCTTGCCATTTGGAAGTTCTGTATCTACACTGTTTCCTCTTTTTGCATTGTAGTTCAACTTCACTATACACTGATATCTCTGGTTCCCTATTTTCAGTCTTGTAGGTTGATTTTACTTTGAATACTTCTAAGTCTGGATTGAGTTCAGGTTGTCTTATCATGTATGGTAATCTCAGGTTGTTATCTGCTGTTTTGGGTTCTCAGTCTATGAAACATCCTTTAACATTTTTTGCAAAGTTTATCTGATCATTACAAATTCCTTTAATTCTGTTGATCAGGAAATATCCTGATTTTGCTGTTGTATTTGAGGGACAGGTTTGCTGGGTATATGATTCTTGGTTGGCAGTTCTTTTCTTTCATAGTTTCGTATGTGTCATTCCATTGCCTTCTTGCCATCCTGGTTTCTGCCAAGAAATCCAAGCTTAATCTTATTGGTTCTCATTTTTATCAAGCTACTCTCAGGATTTGTTACTATGTCTTTCATTGTGGAAAGTTTGATTATGATATGTCTAAGTGATTTTATTTTGGGATCTATGCTGTTTGAGGTTTGCTCAGCTTCTTGTATACTTATCTTCTCATCTTTCATGAAGTTATGGATGTTTTCTTCCAACAACTCTTCAGCCATTTTCTCTGTGCTTTTTTAAAAATTTTTTTAAAAGATTTTAGGGTTTATTAATCCTCTGGCAAAAAATCCACAATCATCGTGGATCAAGTCATAGCAGAATCTTTATTCCTTCTGTTATCCAGTCTCCAGCACGTTTTTTGCCAGCACCAACACTGGCCTTTGCAGTCCGCCTGTTTTTGTGTTCCTTGCGCTGTTTTCTTGAAGTTTTTTTCCTTCTCATAAAGGCCATGTCTTGCAAGTCTGTGTTTAGGTTCATTTTATTTGCATAATCAAAGGAATTGTAAATCATACCAAAGTGAGTAGTCTTGTCACCACCAAGTGGGTTCTGAAGCCAAACACAAAGATGACATATGGTGTCATCTTACACATTTTGGCAAGTTTTCCTGAATTTCTGTCTTAGGTACTGTTGCCTTCCCAGGATGAAGGACATCAATGACCATTTGTTTCCGCTGAAGTAGTCAGTTAGTCGTGAACTTCCTGGTTTGCATAGTTACTGTGTCATTCGTGATGGTGACAGATGCTCAGACAGCCAGGGAGGAAAAGCTTCTCTGTGTTTTTTATTGTCTCTTCTTGTTCTGGAATTCCAGTCAGTAATAAATTGTTTCTCTCCATGGTGTCCCACATAACTCTTAATCTGGCTTCAGATTTTTTCCCCTCTTATTTTGCTTGTTCATTTAGCATATTAGTATTAAGAGATTTATCTTCAAGTACACTAATTCAGGGTTCCATTGTTTCTAATCTTCTCCTTTGTCTTTTCAATGTATTGTCCATATCTGAAATCTTAGTATTAATCTACTTGATTTCTAATTGCAAATTTTGTATTATTTCAAATTTTTCATTTATTTTGTCTATTTGTTCTTGTAGCATTTTCCTTAATTCTAAAGATTCCTTTGTTCTCTTTGCTTTTCTTGATGTTTCTGTCAATCCATTGAAGGTACTAAAATAATCATTCTTTTGAATTCACGCTCACTTAGTTCCGTTACCTTTTTCCTCAGAAATGTTTTCTATCTCTGCATCTTGGTCATTTGTTTGAGCCATTTTCTCATTTTTTCGTGTGAGTTAAAATTGTCTGTTGTCTCTGGGGCATCGTAGAGATGTTTTTGTAAAAACAAACAGTGCAGTTGTTGGACCCAGAGGGGTTAAATCTCTGTGGGGTGGGGGGAGGCTCCTACAATTCAAGGAACTCACAGGTGGCTGTGTGAGGGATGTGACAGCAGAGTTCCTGGCCCTAGGTGGAGTTCCTATTGGCCTCAGTATCATCTATGTTCAGGGTACTCAGTCCAGAAGTAGTTCGTGGGGGCCCTTCATGAAACTGATTTCCGTATCTGTTAGGGCCACCAGGAAGCTGGGGGCAGAGTACCTTGTTAAATACTGGTCTGGTGGCTCTGCGGGTTTTAGAGATCTGGAACAAAGCCCACCTGAATCCAGGCACCAAAGCAGCACAGCCATCCCCCAACTCATACTGATGTGGCTCCCAACCACATGGCTCCAAACTCCCAGAGAGTAGGGTCTGTGCTCCAAACTCCCAGGATGAGGTTGGAAGCTGGCCATACCTTTGATCACTAGAGGAGCATGGGTGGAAAGAAGAATTTGTACCTTTCCTGTCTCCTGCTCACCCCTGCTCTGCAAGGCCTCTCCACGCTGTCAAAGCTGCTCACAAGATGGTTGAGCCACTTGTGGCTAGCTGCTCACCAGGCAGTCTCCCTATCTCACTGTCCCTTCTCTGCCCTTCTCCCAGCAAGCACTCCATCCACCTTTCTAACCTCTCTTCTGAAGTTCAGGGTGCCAGAATTTTCATCTGTGTCTGTTTAATCGATGGCACTTAACAACAACTATTTCATTTGGTCTCAAAGTTTTATTGTAGAAAGTCCATGTAGTATGTCTGCCTAGTCCACCATCTTGCCAGGAGTCTCTACTATGGGTTTTGATATAGCTATTTGAGTAACTTTTCTTTAATGCCCTGTTTGTGACCTGGCAATTATAGAAAATGTTTTGGAGATGTTGTTGTTGTTGTTGTTAGGTGCTATTGAGTCAGTACCGACCCATAGCAATCCTATGCACATCAGAACGAAACACTGCCCGATCCTAGGCCAACCTCACTACTATTGCCACGCTTGAGTCCATCCATGCTACAGCACTTGGCCAATCCATCTCGTTGGGGATCTTCCTCTTTTTCTCTGACCCTCCACCTTACCAAACATAATATCCTTCTGTAGCGACTGGTCCCTCCTGACAATATGTCTGAAGTATGAGAGACGAAGTTTGGCCATCTTGGCATCCAAGGAGCATTCTGGCTGCACTTCTTCCAAAACGGATCTATTGGTTCTTTTGGCAGCTCATGGCACTTTCAATATTTTCCTCCAACACCATTACTCAAAAGCATCAATTCTTCTACAGTCTTCCTTATTCACTGTCCAGCTTTTGCATGCATATGAGGTTATTGAAAATACCATGGCTTGGGTCAGGCGCACCTTAGTCCTCAAGCTGACATCTTTGCTCTTCAACACTTTAAAAAGGTCTTGTGCAGCAGATTTGCCTAATGCAATACGTCATTTGATTTCTTGACTGCTGCTTCTGTGAGTGTTGATAGTTGATGCAAGAAGAGTTAAGTCCTTGACAACTTCAGTCTTTTCGCCATTGATAAGAATGCTGTGTATTGGTCCAGTGGTGAGGATTTTTGTTTTCTTTACATTGAGATGTAATCCATACTGAAGGCTGGAGATGAGATGTAGGGAATTAGTTTCTGATTGAACTACCAGTCTTTTATATGCATGATCTGCCAACAAACCACATTGACTTCCTAAACTAACCAAGGTTAGAAACCCTTGTTTACCATGATACTCAACTTTTACTTTGCCAGACTTAAAAACAATAAAATAAGAAAGGCATTCTCATGACTAGGTTCAGTCCTTCTCTCCAGATAATACTTGGTTTCCTAGTAACCTGGAGAAGCCATGTTTGTTTGAATATAGCCTGTTAAATTAGCCATCCTTATGGTCTTCTTTTTCTAGTGGAGAAATACGTAAATAGCTGATGCTTTTCCAAGATCTTAACCTACAAATTGGGTAACTCGGTTTTGTAATCCAATAATTTAAATTGTTCTACAGTTTAGTATCCAGAAGAAAGGGCGGGAGGGAGGGGGGATTTCTGGGGATAAATTTTTATCAGACTTCTAAAGCCTTATTACTGCTATAGTATTAAAAAGTTCTGGGAAAATTGTGAAATTGTCGTGAAGATTAGACCCTTTAGATGGAAAGGACTCTGAGAAGTCTCTGAGTTTTTAAAAAAGAACTATGAAAATCACACATGGCCAGATACCTCATTTGTTGAAAGATTAATTGGTCTGTTTTCTTTGCTTGCTTCCTTCCTTCAGGAAACCTTTCCTTACAGTGATTAAATGTTTACCTAATATCTGATAATATCCAAATTTCTCTCTCCTAATGAGATGGATATGTATATTTCTCTCAGGGTCTATCTATGACCTTTGTTCACGTTTTCCATGTTATTGTATATATGAATCTTTCTGAGTTCTGACCACTGCAAATATACTATGATCCCAAAGACTTTTGTAAAGGGCTGAAGTTCACTCTAATAAAGACGAAGAGCTTAAACTTTTAACGTCTCTCAAATTAGACAAGAACCAGTTTGCAACAGTATTGTGAAAGCAGCCACAGAATCTGCATTCTTAGTTTAATCTTGTAAAAGAAAAGTTGTATTCTTTTTTTCTATTAAACCTTCTAACAATCTGAAGCAGTAACAATAGCACTGTTGTTGCTAGTAACAATTTTTTGTTGTTGTTGTTAGGTGCCATCAAGTCAGTACCGACTCATTGCGATCTTATGCACAGCAGAACAAAAAACACTGCCCAATCCTGGGCCAACCTCACTACTGTTGCCACACTTGAGTCCATTGATGCTGCCACTGTGCCAATCCATCTCGCTGGAAGTCTTCCTCTTTTTCGCTGACCCTCCACCTTACCAAACATGATACCCTTCTCCAGTGAATGGTCCCTCCTGACAATATGTCCAAAGTATGAGAGACAAAATTTGGCCATCCTGGCCTCCAAGGAACACTCTGGTTGCACTTCTTCCAACACAGATCTATAGGTTCTTTTGGCAGCCCATGGCACTTTCAATATTTTCCTCCAACACCATATCTCAAAGGCATCAATTCTTCTATGGTCTTCCTTATTCACTGTCCAGGTTTTGCATGCATATGAGGTTATTGAAAATACCATGGCTAGTAATAATAGTTCATCACAAAGGAGCCCTTTCCTTTGGGCTCTGGACATTACTTTCTTCTGTAGTATGTATTTTCCCTATCACTTACTCAATAATACCTTGGATTATTGGGTAGCATACCATAGTGTAAAGTTTCAGCTCAACAGCTATTTTGCCTATTGTTTGAGAACACAGCCTGTGTTGTTGTATGCTTACTTATAATGAAATTTATAATGACTATACAACACAGAGTAATTGTTTAGTAGTATATTTGTCTTGAAGGATCCTGGTAACTCAAAAGTTAAGCACTCGAACTCACCAGATGGGTCAGTTTGCTTCTGTAAAGATTAAAGCCTTGGAACCCCTATGAACAGTTCTTCTCTATGTGATAAGATTGCAGTAATTTGAAATCAGTTTGATGGCTATGAATTTTTGTATCGGTCTTATTGCCATTCCCTAAATGAATTTTGTTATTTTCCTTTTACAGATCAGGACTGACAGAAGCCTACCAATGGTAAGATTGTGGCCCCTACTGATTTCTTGCTCTAGCTGCTAGTCTGAGTATTACCTAGCAGAGTTTTGTCTGCATTTAGATTTTAACCACTGCAAGACTCTAGAGAAGAATGTTAAGAGCAATGATCAGTGGCTCCATAGATTACCTGCCTCTTTTGGGTCTTTGAGTATTAGTAATACTAATGTTGTTATTGTAAGGAGCTCTGGTAGTGCAGTGGTTACAAGTCTGGCTGCTAATCTCAAGGTTGGTAATTCAAAACTACCAGCGGTTCTGTGGGAGAAAGATGAGGCTTTCTGTTCCCATCAAGATTTACAGCCTCGGAAACCCTATACAGGGTTGCTGTGAGTTATAACTGACTCCACTGCACATAATCACTGCTAGTGTTGTTGGTACGTGCCATTGAGACGGTTCTGAACTCATAGTGATCCTGTATAGGGTTTCTGAGGAGCACTGGTGAGTTTGAACTGCCAACCTTGTGAATTCAGACTGACCTTGCCGTCAAGTACATATCCTATAGCACTGTACCAGGACTATCATTTGTTTACTACTGATTTTATGTTACATAATTATGTTTTATATGTATTACCTCATGTATTCAACACAACTTGTGAGTTAGATACTATTATTATCCTTATTTTATTATCCCTCTAGGCCTAAGGCCTAGTGATATTAACTAACTTAAGATCATATAATTTAATATGACGCTGGGAGTTGATCCCAGGCATCTCTGAATTGAAAACCTTCATTATTCACCATTATGCTTCAATTCTTTATGTGTGAAATCAAGTGCTAGGGCCAAGCGATCCCTGAAGTTTTCATCAACTGTAGAAATCTGAGCTGCCTTAGGAGGGTCTCCCCTCTGCATCCGGACTTTCATATGCCCAAAGGTGTTCTGGCTGTCTTTCTGTAGAAGCTTTCCTCAAGAATTTTTAAATATATACAAACTATTTATCAAAATACAGAGTATAAACAGCATGTCAACATTATTTAGCTGTCCTCAGGAGGAAGGAGGAGCAAGTTACATTCTTGCCTTATCTCTGTCATGATGAGCCAGATTTCACAGATGCAAAAATGTTAACATTGAGTTCAAGTAATGAACTTTGAATGTCAATCTTATATTTTCCAGTAAAGACCTTGAATAAGCAACTCAGAGTCTCAGTTTTCTGGGCTACAAAATAGTGATAATAGCTACTTCACCTGGTTGTTTTGAGCATAAAATGAAACAATGTAGGTTAAATCTCTAAATGGACTAGAAACTCAAGAAATGCTCATTTCCTTTTCCCCTTGGTTCAGTTGTTAGGTAGATAAGCCTGATTGAGCAAGCTTACTACTTCACCTCAGTTTCTTTCTACCCATGAGATAATATGCATAATATGTAAAAACTAACCATAATAAAAATCTAAATGCATATTTTAATTACTGCTTAAGTTTGATCTTTTCCTGGCCTTTATTAATCAATTCAAATCAGTTCTTTCCCTTTATAAGGTTTTGAAACTCTTTAGATCTCCAAATATAATATTTATTAATTTAATTTGCTTCCTTTTATATGGTAATCATATATTATCAAGAAGAAAGAACCATAGAAATCTTCAAGTCTATGATCTCTGCTTTTAGAGTTCCTGCATACTTAGGGAAGTTAACCCCAGGTGTCTAATAATTTACTCCTTGTTTCTACATGTTACATGCAAATAAAGCCTATAACTAGTTTCACACATTTTGTAGAGTTTCTTCTAAAACCTGACTACCCTACAATCAATATTACAAGAATCAAACAGTATATATTCATTAGAAGAAAAACTTTTTTTCATAAAAGTATGTTAGTGTCTATCAAAGCAAAGGCAAGAAAAGCAGACTACACACTGAGCCCGTTTGCTGACAGTGTTCTGACATAGATGTATATGAGAAATTTAGAGCCAACTAAAACTATTGCTGCAGAGTCAGCAGCCAGCTCAGCTCTTGCAGATGTTTGTGCCAGGTGGTTTGGTATGCCCTTCATCTCATTTTGTCCCGAAATCAAAATATACCCAGTCCCCGTGCTTTCTAAATTTAGGTTAAGTCAATGACCAGACATTTCAGTTACTCAACGCTGTGTCCCTCCCATTATTCCTTATAGTTGTTAATTAACCTGTGACTTTATACTAGATAATCCCTGTCACGGAGTCTTTATGTTGCACTCTAGGATAAGCAGTGGACAGCTAACTGCAAGGTTGGCAGTTCAAACCTGCTAGCAGCTCCTTGGAAACCCGATACGGGGTCACTATGAGTACAACATGACTCACTGGCACCTACCAACAACAAAACCCTGTCATACTGAAGTCGCACCTGGTTGTATTTCATTATTTATTTAAGAAAGATAAGTATTTAATCTTAACTCCCTAAAATACCAATAAATATAACCATTATTATCAGTAGTGGAGAAATATCTGATAGTCTTTATCCTTGAGGAGTTACATGACTACCAGGTATGGGTGGTGGTGTTGTTGTGGTGGTTCAGACCGAACTTAAGGCCAAGTGCTTATCCTATGGTGCCACACCAGGACTTCTATCTAAGTCTTCTTCCTTTTTTTTTCTTTCTTTCTTTCTTTCTTTCAATAATGTGTTTATTCGAACTAGTTCATTTGGGCCTTGCTCATTTTAAAAAATTTTTATTGTGAGTGTACAGTAGTAAATAACACAAGGATTACCAGTACAGCTCATTACCAATGCCTTGATTCATGCTAAGGTGCAGTGTGCTCCACCGCCTTCCTATCCTCAGTGCAAATGTCAACACAGTGAAAGCGAGAAATAGCAGCTAGTATTATAACAAAAAGGAGCTCTGGTAGCGTAGTGCTTACGAATCGGGCTGCGAACTACAAGGTCAGCAGTTCGAAACTACCAGCTGTTCCGCGAGAGAAAGATGAGGCTTTCTGCTCCCGTAAAGATGTATGACCTTTGGAAACCTTGTACAGGGTCGCTATGAGTCGGAACCGACTCCACGGCACATAACAATGTTATAACATAGGAATCCTGGTGTTACCTTGTAGGATCAGCACTGGATTGCGAACCACAAGGTCAGCAGTTCAAATCCACCAGCTGCTCCTTAGAAACCCTATAGTGTTGCTGTGAGTTGGAACTGACTCAGAGGCACTTAACAGCAACAACATACCTAAGTCCTGGTGTGACAATGAACTGTGAACCACAAGGTCAGCAGTTCAAACCTACCAGCTGTTCCTTGGAAACCCTACACAGGGTGGCCATGGGTCAGAATCGACTCAACTCAAAGGCACTTAACAACAACAATTATAATAAAGGACTCCTGGTATGACATTCTAGGGTAAGCACTGGACTGCAAGGTTGGTTGGAACTGCAGTATTGGAACTCACCAGCCACTCCTTGGAAACCCTATATGTAGGGTCATTATGAGTTGGAACTGACACAACAGCACCTAAAAACGACAACATTTTAACAAAGTCAGTTTAGAATTTAGCAGATCCCCTAAAAAAGGGTTGGGGTCGGTTACAGGCTTTGTCTTGACTAATAAAAAGTTATCGGCCTTGACATACATAACCAAAGTGCTGTGCTCCTGGGCTTGCTTCTTCCCTTGCCAAAAGGCATGCCTGGGCCAGGTTGCTGGTGGTGGTTATGTGCCATGGAGTTGGAACCGACTCATAGCGACCCTGTACAGGGTTTCCAAGGCTGTAAATCTTTACGGGTGCAGAAAGCCTCATCTTTCTCCCGTGGAAAAGCTGGTAGTTTCAAACTGCTGACCTTGCAGTTCACAGCCCGATTCGTAACCACTACGCTACCAGAGTTCCTTCTAGTCCTATGATAAGACCAAGACCCATATGGAGTTGGGTCTTATCTTGAAAGAAAAGGTTTTGTTGTTCTTGTTTTACATCCTGATGTGGCGCTGTAGGATAAGGACTAGACTGCTAACTCAAAGGGTGGTAGTTCAAACCCACCAACTGCCCCTCAGAAACCCTATGTTGTTGTTAAATGCTGTTAAGTTGTTTCCGTTAAGTCTTATTCTTGAGCTGATTTTTACAAATCACTCAAGAATCTATAAACTTTTTTTATGTGCCTCAAGAATTCTCCCACAAATGACATAATAAAACTATTTATTTATAAACTATCCCTCCCCTTCTTCTCTTCCCAAAATAACTTTACCCCAGAGTGGTGCATTGGAATCTCAATTTGAATCATGCCTCTACCACTTTGTAACCATGTGGTCTTAAGTTGAAAATTACTTAACCTCTCTGAGACTGGTCTTTCTCATCTGTATAATGGAGGATAATGGGTTTCTCGCCAGATGTTAAGGACTGTAATATCCTCCTTTCACCATTTAATGCCAGATGAAGGAAACAGAGATATTCCAGAGTTAGTGCAAGTGAGAATCATCTAGCTCAGATGTGATAGAACAAATAGTACTCAGCTATAGTTTCCATGAATAAGAGTTTTGTGAACCCATGGATCAGAGTGCTGGCTTTGTGTTGGTCAGGCCATCCACTTAAATGTATACATACATACTCTGTGGGCGCTATAACCTACCTAGGACATGAGTGTGCATGGGTGGACTTCGGAGGCTTCTGATCTCCCAGGAAAAAAGATCTAAATGTCTTCCACTAGGCCTGCAGCAGAGAAGGGGAGGTTTCTCTTCTCTCCTGTGTGTGCGAGTCTATTTTTTTTTTTGCCTTCACACAATAAATCCTCATGTACTGAGCACAACTATAAAGCAAGCTGAAGACCCAAGACCAAACTACAGTTCCTGCCCTTGCTATAGCTGACATTCTAATCTAGAGGATTTATGTGTGTGTGTGTGGTAATATATCAGGCAAAACTCATCATTCTCCTGTATGTATTGATCAATATGATTTTTTAAATGTTTTATTGTGAATTATGTGATAGTTTACATGGGAGAACATTAGTTTTACATTCATCCTATCTTATATCCTTTAATTGCCATGGTTACAATCCCCTCCATGCATCATCAACCAACCAAAGGGTATACCCTGCAAGCCTGCCCCGCCTCCATCAGCACACAGCTCCTCTCCCCATCTGGGTCTAAAGTCCCCAGCTGTTCCATCTCTCCACGTCATCGTCTCTGCCTCCATCTCTGGCGGCACTGCTTCTCTGGATAGGGTCCTGCTCTCCGCTCTTCTCCCTTCATGGTCCCAGGGACCTCCGCTCCTAAACTGCAAAGTTAATCACTCTCTTCCTTGCTACAAAACGTCTACCTTTACATTTCCAACCCTCACAAGCAGTCCTGATAACAGTTATTTACTATTGTATCACAAGAGAACTATCCGCATTTCATTATATCAGCCCCACCTAGACAGATTGGATACTACTCAGTGGAGATTCTACCTTCCTCCACGCCCTCTGGATCTAGGTTCCCTCTTGAAAACTTGTAAGCCAATCACTTCTTGCCTTTGTAGCTCCCCGACTTTGGGTAACCAATGTCCAAGTTGCCCATCCCTGTCCACTCTGTGTATGGAGGGGATGGGAATGATCCTCGCTGTAAAGATTTGTTCCCTTTTTTGAGATACTGCATCCATAGATGTAGGTCAAGTTCATCAAATTGTATCAGATTACTCTTTTTTTCCTCTTTCTTCTTCTAGTTGAGCTCTCAATATGATTTTGAGTTCAGAAAAATTAAAAGCATCATTATGAGCATACCAACAAATTGAAAAGGAATGCATTTTCAGGAAAACTAGTGAAGAAATCTGTTAGAAAAATTTCTGTAGCCTTCCTGAGGCAAGTTTTCTCTATATAAATAGGAGGGAGCTTCAAAGAATTTGTGGAAATTTTCCTTTTTATTTCAATTCCATTCTTCCATGAACTTTTTAAAGCCCCCTTGTACATAAACAATTTAAAAAGGAAAGAAACAAAAAACAAAGATCAGGTGATCGGAGTACACAACTTCATGGCAGGCTCTGCTGCTGTTTGTCTGTGTAATCTTCGATAGGTCATTTTAACTTCTGTTTCCTTCTTCTGTCTGTGAAGGGAAAAGACTGGTCTACCACAGTGATGTGGACAATAACAAATGATTGCAAAATACTTTTGAAACATAAAATTCTAATCATAACATATGATCTCATACAGCGTTTATAGGTCATGATTCTCTGGTTTTTTGTTTTACTTTGTTTTGTTTTAAAAACAGGTACCTGGACCTTCGTCGATATGGATCTGTTCCACATGGAGGTTTTGGGATGGGTTTTGAACGCTACCTGCAATGCATCTTGGGAGTTGACAATATCAAGGATGTTATCCCTTTTCCAAGGTTTACACATTCGTGTCTTTTATAGCTGGAAGATTGATTAGACAGTGACAGAAGCACTGCACCTGAGTATGCATACAGAACCCTGGAAGTACAGATGTTTTCAATGTGTAATTATCTTGCCATAAATTGTATTGTCATATGTGGTTCACAGTCCAATGCTAATCCTATAGTGCCATACCAGGAGTTCATATGCCATAAAGTATAGCATATGAAAAATAAACATGATCATGATTTTCTTAGCAAGTTGAGAGCATTTCATGGAAAGATGAACTGCCACAAGAAAAGATAGAGCAAGTCGAATCTCAAATCCATTACCTCAATTAAGAAAAAATAAAAAAATTGAACTGGATGGTCTCAAAGTTTGTTTCAAACTCAAAGACAGGATGAGCTGCCTGGTCCTATTCTGTGTTTAATCGTTAGATCACTGCCCTTGTGTGGCCTTGGAAAGACAACTAGTAGCTAAAAATAAAATGTTGGAGCTTTTCCCCATACCATTTTAGTTGTGACTAATTCCCATCTTATTTTCAGTGCTGTACTAAACAATACAGAAGAAAATATCCCTTCTTAGTGTGACATCCAAGCGTCTTGATGTGGCACCCTGCACTGGACTGCTAACCACAGGGTCAACAGTTCAAACCCACTAGATGCTCCTTGGAAATCCTATACAGGGTCACTATGAGTCAGAACTGGCTCAGTGGCACTTAACAATAACAACAGAGTCTCATGCAAATGGTATTAATTTTGATGAAATTTCTTTGTGAAAGAAATCTTATTTAATGACTGTTGTCTTTATGTGGCTCAGTGGGTTAATACACTGACTGCAAAGTCAGTTTAGGCCGGCAGTTCAAGCTCACCAGCAGCTTCTCAGAAACCCTATACAGGATTGCTATGGGTTGGAACCAACACAACAGCACTTAACAACAATCTTTAATTATAGGGTTCTTAAGTGGCACAAACACTTTGCACTGGACTACTAACCTAACGGTTGGTGTTGTAAACCCACTCAGAGATGCCATAGGAAGGCCTCGCAATCTGCTTCTGTAAAGATTGTTGTTGTTGTTGTTGTTGTTGTTGTTGTTAAGTGCCATCGAGTCGGGTCCAACCCAAACCCTGTACAGGGTTTCCGAGGGTGTAAATCCTTATGGGAGTAGAAAGCCTCATCTTTCTCCCGTGGAGCGGCTGGTAGTTTCAAACCGCTGACCTTAAGGTTCTCAGCCCAATTCGTAACCACTACGCTACCAGAGCTCCTTTCCAAGGAAACCTGTGAAGCAACTCTATTCCTGCACATATGGACCACCACGTGTTAGAATGCAATCTCAACAACTGTGGGTTTGCTTTTAGATTTGGTTGTCTAATTATAAGAGTTAATGAAATGTCTTCATTGCATAAACTCTAATCACTATTTTGTTATAATTTAGTTTATATTAGATGTTATAACTTTTCAAAAAGTCAATAAAGTAGATTTTTTATTAATACTTTTTGGAAATGGGAAGCAACAATTTTATTTTTAATTCTCTTTGGTTCTTTCCCAGTGAAATTTGGAAGGAAAGGTTTTCAATCGAAAATGAGGATGTCCTGTTTCTATGGATATAGAACCTAAAGGATGGGTTATTCTAGAATCAAAAAGTAGCTGGGTACATTAAAGGGAGATGAACTTGAGACTTGAAAACTGTGTACTTACATGTATGGGTATGGACAAGCTGCGTTACACATATTGTTGTTGTTGTTAAGTGCTGTCAAATAGGGTTTGCGAGGAGCAGCTGGTAGGTTTGAACCACCAATCTTGTGGCTCAAACTGACCTTGTGGTCCAGTGCATAATCCTACAGCACCACACCAGGACTCCATACAGACCTATTGCAAATTATATACTTAGTAGAATGTATGTATATCAAATAGTCATAAAAAGACATGCATCCCTGATTAATCAATTTTCTAAGGCCCGTTAGGTTATTTTCTAAGAAGTTTGTATATGCACTCTATTTTAGCCTGATTGAAAATCAAGCATCTGAAAAGAAAAGAACTACAGAACCTCAGGGAGTCCTGGTGTGTCACTGTAGGATAAGCCCTGGAGCTGAACATCAGTTTGAACCATAAGGTTGGCAGTTCAAACTCACCACTCACTTCTAGGAAACCCTATACAGGGTTACTGTGAGTTGGAACCAACTCTATTGCACTTAACAACAACAATAACAGAGCCTCAGAGTTGAAAGACACTTCTGAGGTTGCCAAGGTCAACCTTCTACCTCAGGCTGGGAGGTCCTTGGTTTGGGCACTAGGTTTTCCTGCTTTTCCATTCCATAGCTTTTGCTAAACTAATGTCTTAGATCAAATCCACTTCTTTAGAACTTTTATCTCTTATGCTTAGCTACAAGGGTAGGATAAAAGGGATGACAAGGACTTTCATAAGCTTGCCTCAATGGGTTATAAATAGAAATTCATTTGTTCACCAACTCTTATTGGAGTTTTAATATGTCAAGAATTATGGTAGGTGCTAAACAGTAGTGAGCAACACAGAAATGACTCCTGCCTTCATGAAATTTGCAAACTAATGAAGAAGATAGAAAATAAATTAGGTAAGCAAATGTATTCTAATTATGACATATGCTGTTAAGTTATACAAAGAACAGGCAGGCATACATCATAAACTTACTACAGGAAGCATCTCTGAAAAAGTGATACTTATTTAATCTTAGAAGTGGAAGATAAAATGCAGAAACCATTTAAAAATTGTCACAGCATCAGCCAGTATTGATTTGGCATCCAAGTCTTATTTGATATCACCATGAATTTTGTGGAACTAGGGTCAGAAACATTTGCCAACCCCAAGCCTGGAGGCAGTATAGCTTCCAAAGCTATCCAGAGTTACGCCTCTAGTATTTTTTCAGTAACCAGATAGAATTGTAAATGTTAAGATGGTGGCGTGGCATTCTGTCCTAAAGTGTCATTATGAGTCAGAATCAACTAAATGGTAGTGGATTTGATGTGTTAACATAAAATGAATAAAATGTGGCTTAATGGTCAAGAATAGTCTATATTATAAGCATATTCTTATGAAGCTCAATTTTTGAGCTGTAGGGTGATTTGTTGTTGTTAGGTGCAGGTGAAGTTGATTCTGACTCATACCAACCCTATGCACAACAGATGAAACACTGCCCAGTCCTGCGTCCTCCTCACAATTGTTACGCTTGAGCTCATTGCTGAGTTCTGAGTTGCACGTCACAGTTTATTTTGGGTTGTGCCATCAACAAATGAAGGTCCTGGAAGCTGCACTCCATTTGCATCATTAAGGTCAACTCTACGTTGAAAAGGCAGCTCTTCCTCAGTCGTATTTTGAGTGACATCCAACCTGAGGGGCTCATCTTTCACCTCCATATCTGACAATGTTCTACTGCTATTCATAAGGTTTTCAATGGCTGTCCATTCAAAAGTGACCCATCTCTCTTTCTTTTTAGTCTCTTTTAGTCTGGAAGCTCATCTGAAACCTTTCCACCATGGGTGACCCTGCTGGTATTTAAAAGACATGTAGCATAGCTTCCAGCATCACAGCAACATGCAAGTCACCACAGTGTGGCAAACTGACAGACAAGTGATGCAAAGTGATTTGAGGGTGGGTTAATTTTTTACTAGAGTAACAAGTTTTCATTGTGAAGAAAATCAGATTTTGTTTTCCCAAGATTTCCAAACATCACCCCAAAATAGTAACCTCAACCACCCAAGTAAGAGGTTATTATAAAATGTAGCTGCTTTTTCCACCATTAATCCCCATTCTAGTTTCACATTTTGAAATAGGTGAAGAAAAATAGTTACTTTCCATCTGGCGGTTCTCTTGCCTGGGAAAGTTGTGCTGTCATCTTTTTTGGTCTGACAAGAACTTAATTGTGTGAGTGATCCATTCCAGATCTAGACATCACTCCCCACCCTGTGACCCAGCCCAGAGACTCTTTAGCTGTCCCAGAGCATGTAGGAAACAGCTTGACCTTTTGTCTGATTTAGACATGATCTGCCAGAAGCCACCCTCTACAATGCTATACATTCATAGTCTATATAAATTGAATCTGGACATTCAAGCATGACTGAACAGGCATTGAAGATACAATTGGTGAGATGGATGAACTCTACCCATCTTTAAATCTCTTGCTTCAAATAATTATAGATGAAAGATGTTTATTTGGATTAGATTGCTCCTTATTCATATATTTATTTTAGTAAGTAGTGAGGCAAGAACATAAAAATGCAAAGCTGAAAGACAGATTGGCCTGGATTGACTCGATAAGAAATGTGTGGGGCCTTTTGGCTTCTGATCAATATTTGTATTCAGTCTGCAATCTGAAGCATGTATGATAAAAAGAAAACAGGTAGGAATGATATGTGATTATAATTTCTTTCCTGCTTATATTCTAAATTAAAAGTTTGTTTTGTTTTCTTTAAGTATTAGATCAGAAAGTAACCTTAATCCCTGTGCACTGAAATAATTCAGTAGGGCTTCCATTATTAAATAATGGTCAGCATCCCTCCAGAAACCGTGGCATTCTACCAAGAGCTCAAGATTGCCCCTCTAATTAGCTAACCCTCCAGTTAGTTTGGTTTTGAGTCCAGTGAATTTACAGGCATTATGAGTACACAGTGTGATAGCTTCTGGGAGAACCTTATAAAGAAGCCAGAAGTTTAGGTGGTTCTTAAACTGTCATCCAGAAAACTGATCGTAGAATTACATAGCCCATGAATCGCCAATAACTTTTTGGTCCACCTTTACTGATAATTGTTACTAAGATTCAAGGGGGAGTTTCCAAAAGTTCATTGAAAAAAATCCACTGTCTTTTTTCTTTATTTGCTAACATTTTATTGTGGTTTGGATGAAAGTTTACAGAGCAAATTAGTTCTCCATTCAACAATTTGTACAGATTTTGTTTTATGACATTGGTTGCCGTCCTCTCAGTGTGGTAACACTTTTGCCACCTCCTTCCTGGGGTTCCTAAATCCTTTTGTTTTTTAACTTTTATTGTTAATTGAGTGAAGGTTTACAGAGCAGATCATTTTTACATTTAAAAATATCATACTTTGTTCCATTACTATTTCAGTCCCCTCCATGTGCCAGCAGTTAACAATATTTACCTCTATTCACTT